TTTTGTTTGTTAATTGCTTTGTGTCAAATATTGTGGATATTAAAAAGGGCATAAGTTCAATTTTTCATTATATTTAATAGAAGTCAAAAGGTATTTGGATAAGTGAGAGATTGTAATGTAATTATGAACAGAGATAATAGATTAGCCAATGATTAATAATATTTAAGTAGTTGGAACCATGGAAATTCCATGGGTATTTTCTGCATAATCATTTACCTTATTTTTCTCAATTTCTTTCTGTTTAATTCTAATTGATTTCTGAGTGAAAAAAACATAAAAGCTTATTTACATTATTCGGACTATTGTCCTCATCTTTGTTGCCATATTTATTACGTTTCGGCCGTTGTATGCTCCAGCCTTTTTCAGGTGGTTAGAATGTCGAACTAAACCCTTTATTTCGCTCACTGGGATAGAATGTTCTAGTTCCACGTGCCATGTTTAATGGATGTCAGTTATCTCCTGTTAATTCCCCTCTCCAAGTTCACCACTGACTTAACCAGGTATTGAACTCACACTCTTTGGGTCCTGTCACTGGATTTAACTAACGCCTTTATCCACTGTGCCATGTGTCCTCAAGGATGGCGTTAGATCCAGTTAAGGCAGTGGAGAACTTTCAGAGGGAAATTAACAGGAGATAACTGATATCTGATATCCATTAAACATGGAACTAGAACAGTCTACCCCAGTGAGTGAAATAATTGTGTTCAGTCCCACATTCCAACCACCTAAAGACGGCCGAAGTGTACAATAAATGTTGTAATAAATATGGCGACAAAGATGAGGACAATACTCCGAATAATGTAAATGTACATAATACCTCATCTCAGAAATATAGACAGATACTATATGGTTTGGTGTGTAAAATCCTGTATCTTTTTTTTTTTCCTTGTTTATCTACATGCTCTAGATTTGTTCTGAGTAAAACTTGTAACATACAAATACACATGTATGACAAATTGGAAAATCTTTTTTGACATCTTTCATCCATGAAGACTTCATTGGATGAAACGCATTAAAAAAAAAAAAAAACAAACTTTTTTTTTCAATTTATCATACATCTTTTCTTTCAAAACTTCTTGATATATAAAAATTTATATATTGTTATCTGATATATATAATGCATTATATGTATTTGCATATTTTTGTTTGTAATTTTTTGCTGGGCTAGTTATATATGTTGCCTTTATGATTATCTTTATGATAATATGGTGGATCATTCAAACATATCAACAAAGAGTGTCTGGCACCATTACAAGAGAGCAGAGTATAACAATAACAACAAGTAAAAAAAAATAAACACATTTCAAGACACGCATACAAATAAGCCTTTTAATAATAGTAAGGACTTAAAATCTCATTTTTGACTGCATTGGTAAATATTAAATCCATACAATCTTTTATTTTTCTCATACTGAACCCTGTCATGATTTTCAGTCTTTCATTTGTTCCCTATTATTCATTTATAGAACCATTCTTTATTATCTTTTCTTTTAGCCTCTCTATTAATAGGGGGAAATGCCATGTGCATTTCTATTTTTATAATCCATTTATTTTTAAGTTTAAAAATTTGACAAACAATGAATTATCATCCCCCCCCCCATGTAAATAACAAGTCATTTTTTACAGTATTATTTACATTATTCAGACTGTTATCCTCATCTTCATTGCCATATTCACAACGTTTCAGCTGCTGTATGCTCCGGCCTTCTTCAGGTGATTGGAATTTCAAACTGAACCCTTTATTCTGTCCACCGGGGTAGATTGTTTTTGGTTCACCACTGCTGTGGCCTGGTATTGAACTCTCAATTCTTTGGGTCTAGTCACTGGATCTAACTGGTCTTTATCCAGAAGAGGCATGGCACGTGGAACTAGAACAATCTCCCCACCCCCATCCCCACCCGGTAGATGAAATAAAGTTTAAAATTCCCATCACCTGAAGAAGGCTGGAGTATACAATGACTGAAAGATCGTGAATATGGCAATGAAGATGAGGATAACAGTTCGAATAATGTAATTAATACAAGTAATCATAATACCTCATTTCGGAGATATAGACAAACATTTTTTACAGGTTATATTTCTATATCTAAAGTTATACTTGTGAAAACTTAATAGTAACAACCTTTTGATGACATAGGTATCACAGTACTGTAATACTGATCATAAATCCTGTAACCTCTTTTAGGGTCATAGAGGCTCTACATCTACTGCAGTGATAGCAGCAGTGATGTTTCATGGACAAGACAGCCTGATAAAGTCCACCCCTCTCCAGGCTGGTTTGAATTCAGTTTTCCTTCTCCTAGACTAATTGCCAACCAAGGCTATAGAGCCCAATCTAGATAGATCTGTTTATCTGTAGCTGGCATATTGTGATATTAGTGTAAGATTAAATGTAAATAGTCATGTCAAATGTGTTAATAAGAGAATAATAATAAAGATATGAAAACACATCCTCAACTTTCACAGACCTTGTCAATGAAGAAGAAAAAAATGTTTGTGGCTAAATACAAGTTATATTCCAAATTGGTTGAAAGTTTAACCTTGGGCATTTTATTGTTATTGATTGGCATATTTTTTCCCCGTTGTGAATGAATCATTAATAGATATGGGATGATTAAAGTAATTGGTTAAAGTTAAAAAGAATAAAAAATTTTTTAATATATATATATATATATATATATATATATATATATATATATATATATATATATATATATATATATATATATATATAATTTTCAAGGCAAAATATAGCTGATCAATTTTACAATTGTAATCAAGGTTTTCATTGAAGTTTCTGACTGTAGGAACATTTGCTCAAAATTGTCACTGCTTCACACTAGATAATGACTGATAACAAACATTGAAGACTTGCTTATCAAAAATCCCATCTCCTCCTGAATGTTGGTAGGTCAAAGGTTAGCACTTGAACTGCATTTGAGTAGTACTTTTCACCTTTGATCTTTTCAACAGTTCTTTTGTATTTTTAAAACTAAAAACAATTTATCATATATATGTCACTTGTCGGATTTCTCTTTCTCTCCAAATTCTTATCTAATTTACTCTTTCTGTGTCCTTTGTGCAAGTGCCGAATTTTTGACCCAGTGGCACTGTTTTTTTTTTTTTTTTTAACAGATAATTTGAGCAATCAACTGAAGGTCAGGATATGTCTTGGATATATATATATATATATATATATATATAGTGTATGTAAACATACAACAGGGTCCTATCTGTGTATTTCACTTGATGTACACGTCATCTCATTTGCGTTTGGTGTGCACAAAAACTAAGAAAGGGCCATTGTATATTCACAAGGAAATTTGTAACATCCAGCCAAGTGGCACTTGTTCTCAGAGGTTTTCATTTATTTAGTTTTTTCCTTTTGGTTATTGGATGACTGCTTTGAGGATCTAACTTCATAGCTTTTACTGTTGGTCATAAAGACACTTAAGACTCGGATAAGATCATTTCGGGTTCTCTCTTTGTGTGTCTACAAATGATAGATGAGTCCCATTGTGTCACATGATATGATATAAAATGTGACCAAATCGTACTTACTCTATGTATTTGTGTGTGTATATATATATATATATATATATATATTTTACAAAATTCATATTAAAAATTCTCACTTGAAATATTTGAACTTTAACGTTGCAACTTCCAATATTATATGACCGTTAATAAATAACACATTCTTAAAAAACATCTTTCAGTCTATAACACATTTATTTCGTCTTTGAGTTTTGATTTTAAAGGAAAAAATTACAACCTGATGATAACATGAAGTTTCTGAAAGTACTTGCTGGTCTAAAAAATACACTAGATCCATCTGACAACAATTTTATACATAAGGATTGCATCATTCAGTGGATTGTTAGTAGTTTAATGCTTATGTCTGTTAGTGAAGAGATTTCGTCATTAATTGCATTAATATTGCTCATTGATTCAATGTATGATTATCTCTTTATAATATAAAATTATATATATATATATAAGCAAAATGAGATCAACTCTTTCAGTATTTTCTTTGTGTTTGTTTATAAATTAAGCAGATTTGGTGTTTTTTTTTTTATGAAAGTGAGAATTTATTTTCACTGTGGTAAATAGAAATATATTTCATTCAGATACAAAAAGTTGTTGATGCATTCTGCAGAACACATGAAAAATTGAGATCAATTTATAGAGAGAAACCTTGTATTGATGTCTTTACAGAAAGTATACATTCCTAGTTATTAAAAAAAAAAGAAAAAAAAGTGAGCCTACCTAGGGTAATGGAACCTTAGTCCACTTCAAAATAATCTTAGTTCACAAAGATATCCCAGGATTTCTTTCACTTCTCAAAACAAAGTCCGGGGATTGTTATCGGATACTGTGTTGTGTTCTCCTTCATCTTATCCATGATCAGTTCAATTTTAGCTTTGGGAGAAGCTTGAAATTGCAAGGAGCCAAATGGACTGTAGACAGTTGTAAGTGATGCAATATTTTGCCAAAAAATTTACACGAAATGTGAAGAATATGCTTACTCACTCATTGTATCTGCATTGACCACACAGTGCACAATATTCAATTCAGTCAGATGTCTCACTGATGGTTGAGTAACCCTACAGGAGAGTGTCTGTTTGCACATGTGCAATATGGTCCCTTCTTATTGCTTGCTAAATTTTCATCAAAGCCATGCAATTATTTTTTTTTAGATAATCAAAATAACTGGATATTTTCCAGACTAACTTCATATTTGAGCATTCAAATTATTTATTCTAGTTGAAGACCTAATTTTGAAGCTAATTTTAAGAGGGTTACATCATGTATGAGATGTAAAATTAGCATATATACTGGTGGCCTTGGCTATGCTGTTGACCAAACTATATATCCATTTCATGTTGTCAGATTAGTTTTAAAATTAGGTCTTCAAAGGTTGCATAATATGTGAATATATACGGTAATTAAAAAAAAAATTTTAAACACTGTTTGTAAAATTTCTTTTTATATTTCAGGTGAACTTTATTGTATGTCAGCTGGTGGCCTTATTATTAGGAATACCTTTCCGAAAAGTCTTGTCTCCTCGGAAGACTAGTCCTACAGTCCGGCACATTGTCGAGTTGTTTGCAGGGATTGGCCTTACAGTGTTCTGCTTTGGCTAGTAAGTTCCTCTCTCTGTTTCTCTCTCTCTCTGTCTCTCTCTCTCTCTCTTGCGTACCTGGAAGTCTTGGCCTCGATAATAAAAAAAAAATAATAAAATCTCTCTCAAATCAGCTCTGTAGTCTTCAGAAGAAGAATGGCAAGACATGATAATGCTGTTAAAAAAGACACATTTGCCTATGAATATCATTCAACAGGACATAGTGCTATCATGACGAAGTAGAATTCAATTTAAAATGAATTCTAAAATAAGTATATTGGAGAAAAGTTAATTGTGTCTGCATCTTCTAAAGCATAATTAGAAAAAAAGTTGTTTATACTTAAAGAAAATCTAGCAAGTCTGACTAATATGAAAGAATTTGCCATAATGATGAACATATTTTGCATGTCAAAGGTTTGACATTTAAAAACTTGATATTTGAGATACTGAAAACTTACATGAAGTATACTGACAATTTTGAAATGGCAGCTGATAGTATGAAAGGTTGAAAATGTTAATTCAAATAAAATGTTTGTTCCCTCTTGCTAGCAATCCTCTAGTGAGAAAAACTTACAATAATTTGAAGGTCTGAATGGCATATTTGAAAAGAGAGAAGAAATGCCTTGGTCTTTTCTACTCTATGAAGTTCACTATGTTCTCTTTTTGGTTCCCTATTAGTATGTATGGGAACTGTGTTGTCTTCCATGGCCAGGTGAAGAGCAAGTGACTATTCTCACCAATGGGCTGTCACATGATTCTCAAGGGCCTGTTAAGACATTGGTAAATTCATCCTGTCAAAAGGAGGAGGTAATTGTTTTTTGTGTCACTACAGCTTCATTAATTTTAAGCCTGATTGAAAAGATTCTAGTCTACAAGCAAGTAGTTGAAAAAAAAAAAAAGTAACAAACAGGATGGTGAGCATTTGTCATGCAAGAAAATGACACCTTTAATCTTCCTCAACTTGGGTAATTGAACAGTTTTTAATTCATAAACATATTTCAAGCTGGTTTCTCACTCTCTCTTTCTCACTCTCTCTTTCTCACTCTCTCTTTCTCACTCTCTCTTTCTCACTCTCTCTCTTTCTCACTCTCTCTCTTTCTCACTCTCTCTCTTTCTCACTCTCTCTCTTTCTCACTCTCTCTCTTTCTCACTCTCTCTCTTTCTCACTCTCTCTCTTTCTCACTCTCTCTCTTTCTCTCTCTTTCTCACTCCTCTCTCTCTTTCTCTCTCTTTCTCACTCCTCTCTCTCTTTCTCACTCTCTCTCTTTCTCTCTCTTTCTCACTCCTCTCTCTCTCTCACTCCTCTCTCTCTTCCTCTCTCTCTTTCTCTCTCTCTTTCTCACTCCTCTCTCTCTTTTCTCACTCTCTCTTTCTCTCTCTCTCTCTCTTCTCACTCTCTCTCTTTCTCTCTTTCTCTCTCTCTTTCTCACTCTCTCTCACTCTCTCTCTCTCTCTTTCTCTGTCTCACTCTCTCTCTCTTTCTCTGTCTCTCTCTCTCTCTCTGTCTCACTCTCTCTCTCTTTCTCTGTCTCACTCTCACTCTTTCTCTCTCTCTGTCTCTCTCACACACACTAGCTTAAAAACTGCCTATCAGGCAGCATTTAAGCTAGCTCCTGCAATAGGTAGGGAGGTGTAGATGTGATAGGCAACAATAAATTACAGAAGAACTCACTTAAAAGTTAAGCTTAAATATTAAGTTCAACAATAATTCTTTTGCTGGAACAAAACAATTTATTCATAGGTCCTTACTTCCCATACAAACAATTTTTTTTTATTTCATTAATGACTTTTGCTGGATTTTGCAATTAATTTTGATTATTTCCCAATTGTAAAAATTGTTCAAATAAAATTTGTTGCAAAAAACCCACTTAAAGCACTGAAAACAATCACTTTCAAGCCCAGGTCCAGCCTAGAATGTTTTAAATTTGTTACCAGTCAGCCTGATTCCAAAATGGTATGATATGGTGGGTTACAGTCTCTAGGAGTGAAGTTGAAAATTGTGACACACTGACATTCTCATATATAGTTTGGTTAAAAAGATTAAGATCTTGGGTTTTCAGTATAATTTTCTTTTCATGATTAATTATCCAAAAATGGATCAGTCTCATGTTTTGGGATCTAATTAATGTCAACCTGTATACATATTTTTTCTAACAGATAAATGAATAGTTCTTAGACTAATCCACTTTTCAAAATTTGACCAAACATCAGTTTGGTGGCAGAATCCCTTCTTGGTCAGGCTGATAACCTTTCTTTCTTTTTTTTTGTTTTTTTTTTTCTTTTCTTTTTTTTTACACTGCCTCCTATGTTACAAAAAAAAAAAATTAGTAATAGAGAATCCTCTATGCACATTTTTTTTATTTTTTTTCCAACAAATATTCCAACAATATTAAAGTAATTTTACAACTCATTATACTTTATAAATTATCAAAAGCATTGTTACTCTGCATTTTTCTTGTCTGTTAAAAAATTTGTGAATATTCAATAAAAGAAACAAAATTCTGTTCACCATTGAATAATTCTGATTTTATGTCACCAGAACAATAATTTGTGACACCAAAAAAGATATCACAATTGTTTGGAGGTTGTGTGAGATTATATATATATATATATATATATATATATATAAAATATGGAATACTCCTATATTTTTTTTTTTTTTTTTTTTTTTTTAACTTTACAAAACCTGAGAATATTTAAGAAAAATTAGCCTAAAAATAAGTCCTGTCTTTGATAAAGGAAATAGCATTATTATTATCATTTCATCACTTTTCATTTGACTTTCTAATCTGAAAGATAGAAAAAAGAAACAAAAAAAAAAAAAAAACTAACCCATCAAGAGACTCACATTATGAAGAGAGGAGATCATTTCCAAGATTTAACTCTTGGAATCAGAAGATAAAATTCCACTCACAAAATTCTCTTTTCCTTTAAAAAAAAAAAAATCCTCTAAAGTAAAGTCTAAATATGTGAAAAATCTAAGTCTATACAGACCCATTTGGTATACATGATAACTGGTAATAATGGAGGGTTCTGTTTTTTTTTTGTTTTTTTTTTATAGCTTCCTTTGTGCCAAGAGGCGACAACCAAACATGTCTTTTGGTCAAGGGCCATAACTCAATAGCATTTTTTCATTTTCACTTTTTATAAATTATTTGGATTCTTGAAATGCAATGTATTTTTTTTTTTTATTGTAGCAAAGATCCTTTTGGTTCAGACAAGTATTTAAGAATTTTATATGAAGGAATTCCTTTCTTTAAAGAATCTTAATGTGGATATCCTAGATTTTAGTTATTTCACACCTATTTAATATTTAAGTATAGCAATTTGAATATACAGTCTCTTGTCTATGATTTGAATAGAAGAATACACTGCATCATTGTAAGAATTATCAGTGTAAAAGATTATAAGCATATCTCTATCCTCATCTTCTAAACTAAAAGGTTTCGGTATAAATTTTCCATAAAAGATAGTTGCTTTTGTAAGGTTAATGTTTCAGCAACCAATGTGCTTTTGATAACTCTTTCAATATATTTAGACTGCATCAATACAGGCATCTATTTGCCATTATTACCAATCAAAAATCATATAGATCTTCTTTGCAATCCTCTAATCACTAGGTTAGCAAATGAAGCATGATTGTAAGCAACACTCTTGACAAAGTTACCCAAAACAAGAATGATTGAAATTTGTCTAACATTCTTATTGGCTTGCTTAATGCAGTCATTTTTTTTCTTGCTTCTGAACTTAATTTACTCGTATCGTAAATCAAATCTAGTCTAGTTTAAACTGCCAGTCAGTTTAACTAACCAATCAATTGCCCAACTTTTATTATCTCTTCTACTGATATTTTACCTTGAAAATTCTGGTCAATTCCCAATAGGATAGGCACCAGATTTATATTAAAAAATAAATAGTTCACATAACTCACTAGTAATAATGCAAGAATTTGCTTTAGGTGTCTTTTTCTTTCTTTCTTTTTTTTTTTTTTCCTTTTCCTTTTCCTTTTTTTTTTTTTTTTTTTTTTTTTTTGTGCATGTGTGCCAAGGGCAGGCAATCAATCGAACATGTGTTAATGAAGACTCATAACTCATTTTTAGCAAGATGCTCAAAATGAGATAAAATTTAACTTCATGCTAATTAACAGAGAAAAAGCTTCGTACCTACACTTTAGTTGAACCTGTTAAAAATAAGAAAAACAAGTTTTTAATCATTAAATTTCACTTTTAAATGCTAATCCTATGATCAGAATTGTCTTAGCTCTGTGAATGGTGTTCATTATCTTACACCAACACTAATAGTGGGCTAATACAAATTCTTTTGTGAGGGAGATCAGCATGCACTTTTTTCTAATTTCTAGATATGGTTCTGAATATTAAGTTTTGTCAACTATACACAGATAAGTATTGTTAAATGACCAACAATTTTAAATTTATATTTATTGTACAAATAAAAATTTTAGCATTTGCTTCCTTAGATACATTTGGCATACTTGTAAGATGCATATTAGGTGAGTGTAAAAAAAAAAAAAAAAAAAAAAAAGTTTTCAGTTGTATAGTCTCAAGTTTTCCAAAAAGAACACTGAATTTTTACACCCATCTAATGATCATTAGGACTCTGAACATTTTGATGAATTTGTTTAATAATTTCTACCTGTGATATTGTGATTTAAAACTAAATAACTGGATTTGTATTTTTTATTCTATTTGAATTACTTGTTCTCTTCCAAATTTGGAATGATTTTTTAATGAAATCTCACTAATCTTTTTATTGTCTTTTCAGCCAAGTATGGCATATAATTGCTCAGTCAGCCGTTTGCTATTGTCTTATGAAATGGGCCCAGCCTACAAATGCCCATAAATTAGTCTTTGTGTTCGCCATGGGTTATTTGTCCTGTATGCATATATATCGACAATACTATGATTATGGTGGTTACACAATGGATATCACGGGGTAGGTTTTCCAATTTTTCTATTTTAAGTTTTTATATAATATATATATATATATATATATATAACTTGCCAGAACCAGTATTTAGCCACTACCAATTTGGTCACTTTATTCAGAAAGATATTTATGATGTGGCATCCAATGCTGGCACACAAGGTATGCAAAAGTTATAAAGTATGTATGAATATTTCTTTGGCCACAAAAATAAGTGCATTTGAGTGACTTTGCCAATAAAATGGAATCTGGTATGATCTTTTCTCAATTTCTCTACATTCACCCCCAACCGTTTCTTGCACATGTGTGCTATGTCCATTATTTTTATTACCTCCTTCCTGTGTATCAGTGTGTGTGTGTCTTTTTGCCGCCTTCCTGTGTACATGTTAATGTATGTTATCGCTTGTGTATGTGTTAATGTGTGTATGTTGTTGTCTTCCTGTGTGCATGTTAGTGTGTGTGTGTTATTGCCTCCTTCCTGCGCACGTGTTAATTCTCTGTTGATACTACATGTCCCACTGAGCTTTAAAACAAAAAACAAACAAAATAAATATTAAATTACTGATGGTGGAATAATTAAGATGGAGGAAAAGCAAAAGAAAACTTTGAATTTACTCTCATCAACACTTGAACTATTTTCTTTATCCCATTATATAATCCCTCATCTTTATCCCATTATATAATCCCTCATCTACATAAGCAAATGTTTCTCCCTTTGTGACCCTCTGTTGGATTTTAGGGTCTTCCTATATCATTTGCCACTTGCCCATATCCTCGTTAGCCTCATTGTCCAACAAGCTAACAATCCTGCATATGTCCAGTTAATCATTAAGTGAAATGTCTTTACTGAAATGAATGTTTTTCACTCTTCCAATCTCCAATTGGCTTGTGCAGTGTCCATTTTAGGACCTCGACCAAACTTCATTACCCAATTTTAAGACTTCACTCTCTCTCCTTCTCTTGAATGATTGTCCTGTGCAATGTCATGTTTCAATGAATTTCAGTTTATACCACTGTTTTTTTGAAAATTAAATTTCTAATCTTAAATAAGTTTATTTTTTTTTCTTTTATCATTTACTTTGCTGATTTATTCTAAATCCAGGCACAATTTTGGTTTATTATGTCTCACTTTAATGAACATTCATGGTGACTCTTATATTTGCCTAGTAAGAAAATATTTTTTGAATTAAGCTATGTCCATTTTATTTTGTACTGAACTGGGCCTATTGCACACAGAATAAACAACAGTATAGGTGTATACATAACTTTGATATAAGCTTGGAAGAATTTGTGAATCGCTTTATTGCAGTTTTTTTAGAAGTGAATCTAAAATACTTTTTTAAGGTATGCCTAGAATTTTCATTTCATATATATATATATATATATATTTTTAAGATATACATTTTTCTCTTCTCGGAGCAACTATAACCTTATATATATATATATATATATATATATATATATATATATATATATTATTATTGCTGAAGAGAAAAAAATGTATATTTAAAAAAAAGATAGAAACCACTCATGGTTTTGTGTCTAGTGTGGATTTGTTTTAGTATATATATTGTATTTTCTTCTTCATATTTCTGCTACACATGTTTCTGGCCTCATGACCTTCTTCAGGCAAATGAAAGGAACAAGTTTTCCTTATGTTATTTTAGTATCTCATTGTTTGTTTTCTGTGTGTGTATTATACAGCAAAAAAAACAAAATTACCTCATGTGAGTATAGTCTATTTCAAATCGGCACAACCTTATGCCAGTCTTCTTCAGCTCTAGACTGTCTTGGAATCAGGGGTTTTTGAATTTAGTTTAGATAGCAGTTGGAAAAAAGGTACATGCCTACTCAAACTAATGCTTCATTTTAGATAAGGAGCCTGGGATGGTGACAAGGGGAGGGCGTGAGGCATCTCTCTAAGAAGAGATAGACCTGAATGGGAGTTTATTTATGACCAAAGCCCTTAGTTCTATGTAAATGAATTTAGGTTCTTGCTAGGAGATATAAAGTGGGCAATGAAGTCAACATCCAGCAGTTACAGTTCGTCTCATTCTTAAATGCAATCTTCAGGCCTGAAGATTGTTGGGTGTTGACCTCTTTTCCACTTTTATATTTACAAATGTCTTATCCCTAATATTCAGCACTTTAAACCATAAATATAGCATACTTTAAAACTTGGGTTCAAGAGTCTTAGACGACTTTTGGAATGATGACTTTTGTTAATTTTATAGACCATTTGATTTGTATTTTATTAAATTGCAATGAAACACCATGTAATTTCGATGGAACTGACTTGCTATGTCTTTTATTTTAGACCATTGATGATTAGTACACAAAAACTGACAAGCCTTGCTTTTAATCTCTATGATGGCATGCACCGTCCAGACAAAGATTTGTCCAACTCCCAACGACAATATGCTGTTCGGTAAGTCCCATGTCATTTTATATATCAATCTTGATTTTTCTAAAAAAAAGGATGAAAACAGTTTATGATTAAGCTGACAATTATGGAAACTAATTAAATGTCAAAGTTTGAAATGAGCAAAAGCTGATTGTATGTTCTGTGGCTGAGAGAGTTGTGTATTTCACACCAACATTGACAGTTGGAGTTCAAGTTCAGTTAAAAGAATGCATTTCAAGGACCTGATTTTTCAAATCAGGTAATTTGTTTTAATGCACTTTATACAGGCAGGGACACAGACGTAACTAGTATGAGTGGGTGCTGAAAAGTTACCAGCCTAACCAAGGAATCCGCCCCCCCCCACCCTTTCCAAAATTCTGAAGTTATTTGCTGAGAACTTTCCAGCATGCTTGTGTGTGTGTGTGTGTGTGTATATATATATATATATATATAAGAAATTTCTTTTGCTTTAATTGTGTGTGTGTGTGTTATATATATATATATATATATATATATATATATATATATATGTGATTTGAGATAATCCTAATTCATTGAGTCTAGAAGAATCCTCAACAGAATTCAGAAAGCATTGTACGGCCATTTCATCCTATGTTTGGGACTCATCAGTAGTGTGCATCCACTACGGAGAATTGAACCTGTACTGTTATGATATGACATAAGCATCATACCAACTGTATCAAGAAGCCTCGGTGATGAAGAGGCAACTCTTATTAGATTCTATATAGTGTCACTCTTCACAAATAATTTCCCTCTGAAAGTTCTCCACTGCCTTAACTGGGTATTGAACTCGCACTCTTTGGGTCCTGCCACTGGATTTAACTAACACCTTTTTTTTCACTGTGCCATGTGTCCTTGTGTGAGAATTAACAGGAGATAACTGACATCCATTAGACAAGGCGCGTGGAACTAGAACAGTCTACCCCAGTGAGCGAAATAAAGTGTTCAGTTTGACACTCCAGCCACCTGAAGAAGGCCGGAGCGTACAACGGCCGAAACGTTGTAATAAATATGCCAACAAAGATGTGGACAATAGTCCAAATAATGTACATAATACCCCATGTTAGAAATATAGACACACACACACACACATACATATATATATATATATATATATATATATATATATATATATATAGAGAGAGAGATATATTTACAATTGGAATTACGATACCTTTTAGTAAATGACCATTTTCACCTACAAATTTTAATTTTAAAATTTGCAGGATTTTTCAAACTGTTTGTGGTATTGGTTTGTTTTATAAAACTTGATGGACCATTTGGAAAATGGTGAACATTTTATTGTAATTATTTTCATAGTTTCTATTAACTGATTATGAATTTGTCTCCCATGAAATTGAGGCAAATTGATGAAATAAACTGGAGTCTGCCTTTTTTTTCTCTTTCTTTTCTCTTCTTTCCACTGCAAAGTAAATAACAATTTATTGTTGTGATTTTTTTCATTCATTTATATAATTTTTCTTTATCATTATCACCACAATTGGACATATTTAAATTAAATGCCCTTTAATTAATTATCATGATTGGGGAAAATGAAAATTACTCTGTTTTCACTTTTTAGTCATTTATTGAACTATCAGGTCATCCCATAAGTTCTGTCCGAATTTTGAATAAAGAAAACAAGTGACCAAATGTTACATTGTTGATTGAATCTGTAATGCAATGTATTTTCCCTGATTATCTATGACTTCCTTCCATCTATTAACAAGCTTACTAATTCCATTACTGTAAAATTCTTTTGGCTTTGATTCGAAGAACTCACAAATGTCAGTTTTAACCTCTTCCTGTGTTACAAAAGCTGTTTCTTCCAAATGATTCTGTAAGCTACAAAACATATGGTAGTCTGAAGGAGCAAGATCGGGAGAATAAGGTGAATGAGGAATTTTCTCCCAACCAAGTTCTTCGATCTTTTGTGACATGATTCTTGCTGTGTGTGTGGTCGCGAATATCCTGATGAAACATCACCTCTTTTCGATTCACTAGAGCAGGTCTTTTTTTTCCTCAAAGCTTGGTTCAAATGCTCTAATTGCTGACAGTATATTTGAGCATTAATTGTTGCATTAGGTGGTAAGAATTCAAAGTGGATTATTCCTTAGTGATCCCACCAGATTGAAAGAACCTTTTGCCCGTGAAGTTCCCTTCTCGGCTGTGGCTGGGGTCCTTCCCCTTTACTAAGTCACTGTCTATGATGCTTAACATTTTGATAAAAGATCCATTTTTTTGTCATAAGTCTATCCAAAAAAGGTGAAACAAGGCGAGAATGGAAAGAAGAGCAGATGTCAACTCAGGATTTGAGGTTGTTTTCAGACAATTCATAAGGCACCCATTTTCCAAGTTTAGGAACTTTTCCAGGTTGTTGAAGATGATGATGAACAGTTGTATGGTTTGAACTGAGAACCACTGCCAATTCCTCAACTGATAAAGCAGGATTTTCTTCAAGGGCTGCTTCAAGAAGCTTTTCATCAAACTCAACTGGACATCTGGTTTGATCTTCATCTTCAAGGGTGAAATCTCCACCTCTGAATTTTGCAAACCATCTTCTGCAAGTTCTTTCATTCACACATTTTTCTCCATAAACTGAGTGAATGTTTCTAGCCACTTTGGCTGCTGAGTTTCCTTTCTTGAACTCATAAAGCATTATGTGCCTCAAATGATTCTTGGGTACTTCCATGTTAGCAGGGTTTTAATCAAACAAAATTTAATTTTATTGTTCTCTTAAATAAAATTTGATCAGTTTAAATGCATCTAAACCTAAAAATAATGTTCAGCTCCATTAGACATTATAAAGTACTCTTTAAATTTTGTTCATTTTAACAAAGTTAAAATTCAGACAGAACTTATGGGATGACCTGATAATTTCTTCTCAACTGAATTATTCACATTATGATATTTAAGATTTACACTTCTTTTTGAATGCTAAAAAATAAATTCTTTTCTGCACTGTGGGAGGAAAGGTATGTCAAATTAAAAGGACTTATTTTATATTTAACAGAATATATTTCTTCTCTTTCAGTGTGAGATAAACATTTTGTGAAAAGCTGATCTAATTACTTTCTTTAGAAAAAAAAACATTAATGATTTTACTCTGTCAAATTAATGAAACATTCATTTTTGTGATGACCCTTATTTAAATTTAGCAAATGTCTGTGAGATAAATTTACTTATTCTTTAAATTCTTGTCATTTGATCTTCTTTTTCAGGTCATTACCCAATGTGCTGCATTTTGGCAGCTACATGTTCTGTTTCCATGGAATTATTATTGGTCCACTAGCATTTTATGCTGACTACATTCACTTTATTAATGGCGACTGGTATAAACAGGAAGTCATTGTGAGTAGATAACTCTTATTTTTATGACTGTATTGTCTTTTTTAAAACAATCTATTTTTTAACATTAGATGGCATTAGGAGTGTTTAGTTTTAGTTTAACTATAATTTTTGTTTGATTCTAATATGAGAAATAGCAGACAATAGGCAACATTTACAGCATATGGTGTTTTTTTGTTTTTTTTTTTTTATTTTTTTTTATTTTATGAAAGGTAAAAATTTGGCAAAGCCCCAAATGTATGCAGTTTATGGAAAAGTTACTGAAAATGAAAGTCAATGATATTAAATATTTTATGGTAGAAATTTGTTGAACAGTTGAAGATCAGGTGTCAACATGATCTTCAACTGTTTAACAAATTTCAAAGTTGAAATGTTTAATGATCTTGATTTTATTTAAATTAAACAAGCTTCACACACACACACACACACACACACACACACACATATATATATATATATATATATATATATATATATATATATATATATATTTTCCTTTAAATATATTACCATTGCAACACTGAAATGTTTCAAAACTGAAACTTCAAATTCAATTATAAAAATTAAACTTAAAATACAAAGTTCTATTCTATTATCAAGCGATGCTAAGATAACTTTTTAGAAATTGATTTACCTAATTTATATGTCCAAACAAACTTGATATTTTAAAATTTGGGGGGTTAAGGAAAATTCAATCTTTTTTTTTTTTTTTTTTTTTTTTATGGGTGTTAAGATTTAACTTTAGAAAACTTGTGTATCTAATGTATTGTAGCTATCAATTTGGTCAAGTCAAGGTGGGGTGTCTGTATTGACACAAACTTTCTTTTTTTAAGTAGAAATTTGTGGTAGTGTCTATGATCCAACGTGTCATCAGGGTTTCAGTAGCAATACATTTGGCTTTTTTATTTTTTTTTAATTTTTATTTTTATAAATTTCAATTTTTTTTTTTTTTTTTTTTGAAAGGGGCATTCAAATATTATTTAGTCAAATTTTTAATATTTATATTTTTATTTGTACTGACCGAAGATATATTTGATTTATTTACTAATTGAGTACATATATGGTAATGTTAAAATTCGTAGAATCTAATTATGTTTTCATAAACTATTTTATTTATGATCAAATGTAAATATTAGTTTCATTTTATAAAACTTGCCAAATTTTTTCCTTAATAGCTATGTCTACAAAAAAAAAAAAACACTATTTCATTCAAATTTTTTATTTTATATATATATATATATAATATATATGTATGGGTGTGTTTCTTTTGTGTGTAACAATTGAGGGGTAGTGTGCAAAATAATGATGACCCATCTGGTGCTGTGCTAACTTTGGTTCCCGTTGACATGTACTGATATTGGTATCGAAGAGGCTTTGTTTATATAATATGCCACATATATCTTAAAGAATGCTTTGTTCATTTTTAGAAATTCATTTTAAACTTTAAAAATCATAATTCAAAAAAGAGGCAGGTGAACAATTCTTGTAATAATTCATTAGTCATCAAAAGGGTTTTTTTTTATTCACACTACATGCTGCTGCATTTTGTATAAGAATTTTCAATAATTCTATGCACTTATCTTAATGCCATCATTAACTTTGAAATAACATATAATTTTATTGCCAACATTATTATTAGACAAAACCCGTGTTCCTCTCTGTTGCTTTCTCAATTGTTTCAACTATTTCCCTGAAGGACATGCCCTCCATCCCAGCTGGTTCATCCAATGTAGCTCTCTATTCATCTCTAAACATTAATGTTGAAAAATCCGTTTTCATGTACTTCTCTGCCCAAATAGAAATTTCTCTTTGTCTTGTTTACTTAAATGTAGGACTTTTGATTGCTTTCATATCATTTAATCAGTGTCCTTAATATATGCTGCTTCTTTTTTTTTTTCTTTTTTTTTTTTTACATTCACAACATAAATTTTCTTGTTGGTTAATCCTTTTTTTCCTTATTACTCTTTTCATTTTTCTTTTTTCTCTTTTTATTGTGGCATTATTAAATCAAATTATTTTTCTTATTTTTTGCCAATATTTTCAGTTTCTTTTTGTCTTATTTGTTTCTTTTTTTTTATTTGTTTTATGATCTGTTCATTTTTTTCACAATTTTCAATATTGTCTACTTCACTCTATAGCTTTACAATATCTTGTTTCTCTTTTGAGCTCGTATCATTCTTACGACCCATGACAATTTTTATATGTCTGAAATTAGAATTTAGATAGTAATAGCCATACTATTATATATATTTATTTGCAATTTGAGTAACAATCCTCGAGTTGTTGTGTAATACAGTCTCATACCACCAAATAAGTTTATTGAAAATATTTCTGATAAAAACACATCAGCTGAAAAATCTCGTCTAATATTTATTCTTTAAATATATTTAAGAAATTTTACCAACTTTGGTTAATATCCGTTTTATTGTAAACAAAAAAACTTGCATCATGGAATCTGTGTGCGTGAAAATACGCATCACATTTGTATGTGGAATCCTTTCCATTTATTTTCCATTGATCATAGCTCTCCCCAATTTCCTGGCCTTTTTAGTTCTTAATAAATTTGATCTTTTTGTTATCTCTCCGTTGATCTGTCCTGTGAACATCAAATTTTCCAAGTCCTCTTTCCTCATTATGTGCCCTAAAAATTTCAACCGTCTCTTCCCGTCCAATATAGCCCTTAATAAATTTGATCTTTTTGTTATCTCTCCTAAACCTTGTTCTGCCATCCATTTACTGAAGCTCGCTAGGTGGGTTATGCATTGTTTTCCTCTTGTCTTCAACCGGTCCTGTGAGCATCAAATTTTCCAAGCCCTCTTTCCTCATTACATGACCTAGAAATTTCAACCATCTCTTCCCGTTCCAATATAGCCTTTAATAAATTTGATGTTTGTTATCATCTCTTTTTAGTTGTTACACCTAACATTTTATTGAAAAAATTTAAAAACAAGAATAAAAGGCAGTGTTAACTGGGGTTATGTTAAACAAAACATATCTACGTTGAAAATTTAAAATGAAGGAAAAGATCATAAATTCCTGTGGGTTTGCTAAATTCCTTTGAGACATTTTTGCTGATTTTGAAATGTCAATTGCTTTTATTCAGTTTGTTCTTTTCTTTGCAGGATGGCAAGATTGTCCAGGTACCACTAGAGAATGTTCCTTCTCCAAAGGTGAGACACTTGATAAGATGTTTATTAAGATTAACTTAGTCAGGTAAAAGGCCATATTAGTGGAGCACTTAACATCATGCTCATCATACCCGTCGTAGTCTGTGAGTTTTAGCCACAGCTCTACATAAAAGGCCTAAAGGTAAGAATCCACTTTTTTTTAAAATAAAAAAAAAAAAAAAAATTAATAGCTCCCTAAAAATGAGCTCTGGGGGTAATTCCCTAAAATTCTGTTTACTGTTGTTTACATCATTCTTATTGAAAAATGTATAATAATGGAGTGATATATATTCAAGTATATTTTACTTAATAACATTGACATGTCACAATAATTGATATTTGGTTTTATTTTTTATTTATTTATTTTTTTTTTTTCACCTCTTTTTATTGTTCCCCAGCCTCTTTCCCATGCATCGACTTTTGTCCCTCTTTCCCTTGCGTCGACTTTTGTCCCTCTTTCCCTTGCGTCGACTTTTGTCCCTCTTTCCCTTGCGTCGACTTTTGTCCCTCTTTGCCCTGCGTCGACTTTTGTCCCTCTTTGCCCTCGTCGACTTTTGTCCCTCTTTGCCCTGCGTCGACTTTTGTCCCTCTTTGCCCTCTGCGTCGACTTTTTGTCCCTCTTTGCCCTAAATCGACTTTTGTCCCTCTTTGCCCTGCGTCGACTTTTGTCCCTCTTTGCCCTGCGTCGACTTTTGTCCCTCTTTGCCCTGCGTCGACTTTTGTCCCTCTTTGCCCTGCGTCGACTTTTGTCCCTCTTTGCCCTGCGTCGACTTTTGTCCCTCTTTGCCCTGCGTCGACTTTTGTCCCTCTTTGCCCTGCGTCGACTTTTGTCCCTCTTTGCCCTGCGTCGACTTTTGTCCCTCTTTGCCCTGCGTCGACTTTTGTCCCTCTTTGCCTCTTGATCTTATATATTAGTAGTAACTGAATGTAAATAACTTCAATCACAATTTGAACTTGGTTTCTGTTATCTTCATAATGACTTTTATTATCATCAATGAATCAAATATACTGATGAGATTGTTGAAAAATATAAATATTTGTTGGATAATATAAATTCTTTCAGGATTAGGTTCTGGATTTGCTGATTCTAAGTATTAAAAAAAATCTGGTCTATTTTTTTTTTTCTTTTTTTTTCTCTCTTTTTTTTTTCTTTTTTTTTTCTTTTTTTTTTTTTTTTTTTTTTTTTTTCTTTCTTTTGTGCATAAAGAAGTTAAAAAGAAAAAAAAATGTTGCATATAATTATGTAACATTTTATTCTCTGACTCAATAGCAAAGATGTGATAAAATGTATTAGCTGATCTCTGTCCACTTTGAAAAATAAAATGTCATTTGTCAGAAATGTTTATTATCAATGTTTTTCTGCTCATGGTAAAATAAAACTTTATAAAATGGTAAATAATAAGGATTTCCTTGTAATTGGTTCACATATTTTAATAATTTAGCAAATGTTTCTAGACTTTTGAATAAAAAAAAATGTTTCCATGTTTATTACTATTGAAATTGGTAAATAATAAATATTGCATTGCAGTAGTTTTAATTGTATTAGTTTTTAGGATGTTGTAAATAATAATTAATCTTGTAGGTAAAAAATCTAGTAAATAAATAGCATTTAATATTTTTGTTGTAAATTCTCAAAAACACAATGTATAAATTCACTTTTGTCAAATGTTTAAGTTTCATTCCAATTGTAATCATCACTTTTTAAAACAACAAGGAGAGATGATAATGGTGTCATGGCGAGGGGGGGGGCATCCTTTGTTACTCTTTTTTTTTTTTTCATAAGTACAATGGTCCAAGTTTGCCCAAATTTCAGAATAAACTAGCTTTAGTAAATATTAAAATAGAAAATAAATACAATTTTAGAACAAATTTGATGTGGATCTGTTATGGGAGCTCAACTACCTGCACTTTTTTTTTTTTTTTTTTTTTTTTTTTTTTTTGTTTTACAAAACATTGATTTTAATGATTTTACCAAGTGTTAATTATATTTGTTGTTTTTATTTGTAATTTTCAGGAAACCGTGACTAAAAAGTTGATTGTCTCCCTTGTTTGCGCCATTATCCTTTTAACGATGCCTTCAGTAATGCCACCACAAAAATTGTTAGGTACGTCTCATTGTTCGTGTTGTTTTATTGTATCCAACAGCCACCTGGAAGAGAAGATGAAGTTAATCTATATATATATTATATATACAGCTGTTGATGACAATTTAGGAAACTTTTCATGATTTTTAACAATTAAAAAATAAATAGTTTAAAACTTGCAAAAGAAAAAAAATAATTAAATATCTTGATAAACTCAATGTCACCATTATATGGAAGGATGTCAGAATAATATTCTGAGTGGTTTGTAGGTTCCAAAGAATTTTTCCCCTCTTTTCAGTGTGTGTGTGTGTGTATATATATATATATACTAAAATAATCCTAAGGGTCCAGGCAAACCTAGCCAGGTTTCACCTAAACGGATCTTCAGGGTAAAGCCGAGTAAAAAGAAAAATTACAGAACAATATCTGTTGATAAAACCAAACATAACCATAAACACGGGACAAAGAAAAAAAGAAAAAAAAGACAAACAACAAGGGGTCTGCTACTTTATTGATAAGCCAATGACCCCCCCCCAAAAAAAAAACTCTAATAATATATATATATATATATATATATATATATATATGTGTGTGTGTGTGTTTAATATTTGGTGTGGGGTTCAAATTCCATTTGATCATTATATATTGGTTGATATGTCATTAAATGACATTTGTATATCCATACTTTAATAAAGTGATATTTTATTTTTATTTGAATGAGATAAAGCTAGATTCCAATTTGAAAACTGTTTCTCCCAGAAAAAAACCAAAAAAAAACCTGTGAACTTATTTGTGTGGGATATGCAGCCTCACTTTTTTTTTTCTTTTTTTCTAACCGTTTCCTTTTACTAGCTAAATTAAATGTTTTAAACAAAGATTTTGTCTTTAAAAAAAAAAAGGAAAAAGATTGCTCTAATAAGTAAGAATTTATTGTCTTTTCAAAGTTATGTAATGTCATCATGGACTGTTGTATTTTATGACCCGAGAAAGAGATTTATCTAGATCATGCAGTTTGAATTGTGTGACAACTGTCTCTCCAGACCAATGCTCACTGGTAATTGCCCAGCCACAATGTTTTGATTGTTGCTGCTCCAGTATGAAGCATTCGGTGCCATGCATGACAGAGTCTACAGCCACATCTTCCCAGATGTTACATTGCTTTCAGATCCCCTCTTGATGCAGTCTTTGTAGCAGTGTCTTTCACTACCTCACCATTGCTTGTTTGCCACACTTTAGTTCACTATACAAGTGTGATTTTTCGGCAATTGAGAATACAAACGATAGACCTACCCAGGCCATCGTAATCTTGCTGCTGCTAGCAGGGCATTTACACATTTTTTGGTTTTGAAAAGAGGAATCCACCATTTTTATAAAGTGAGAATTATCTTTTCCAAATCAATATCATTTGAGATCATAGTCTACAACTTTGCTGCAATTTATTTCAAACTCCATGTGTGTTGTCAGGACTACATGCAGTTTTGAATTCAGAGTTACTTTTCTCCTAGACTATTTGGCAGCCATGGTTAGAGACCTATGTCTGACCTGTTATTTAACCCATAGTTCTAGTGGTGACAGGTTCATTTCTTTCCTAAGGGTATTTGTGTGAAAGTGAACGTTTCAAACTCAATTGGAGTTCACTCCTTCTCACAGGATATCTTCTGAGCCACGCTACTTGTTCAACCATTTAAAAAAAATTTTTTTTTATAAGCGGCAGTAAATTGATTGGAAAATCAACCAAAATACATTTGTCATGGAAGATGCAACCCCAAATAATACACTATTAAATAGCAGTTCACTGAAAAGTGAATTACAACAAAAACTGTAAAGATTTAAAAAGTCAAGATTAATATCCAAGATGACACATCATGGTGTTAAATTTAATTAAAAATTGTTAAATAATTTTCTAGTTTGGCTTTGATATAGAGCAACAATAATAATTGCTATTTAGGATCGAGCTCCTTGGCAGTGTTTTGTGAGAGGAAGCTTGCTCACCATTTGTCTGAGGGCAGGTATTTAATCAATGTTTGATGGCATGTGACACTCGGGGGTGATTTAAAGAAAGATTTGTAAATGAGCCCTGAAGATATTTATTCTTAGACTAAACAAAAGCAGAGTACATGTTCTGTTTAGAAAAAGTATTCAATCATATAAAATATGTATAGTTTTAAGGTGTGCTAAATTTATGGAATAAAGTGCTCAATATCAGAGATAGAACGTATGTAAATATAAAAGTGAACATAGAAGTCAACACTCGGCGACAGGCTGTTTTATGCTAGATGCAATCATCAGGCCAAGATTGTTGTATTTTTTCTCAACTAATATATATATATATATATATATATATATATATGTCAGTGGTGTATTGTAGTTAATCTATTCTTGCTGTTATTTTGGCAGGAGTGGCTTATTTATTTGGGTTAACTTATTTTACTTGTGTTTTTATTTTCATTTTATTTTTTTTTTTCTATTTTATATATTTATTTATTCTTTTCAGTTTTCAATGTTTTATTAATGTAGTAAAAGATTTTGGGGGATTTGCTTAGGTTGCTTATTTAATACTTTGTTTTGGTTTGGGAAGATAAAACTATTTATTCGTCCAATTTTTGGATTGATTGCTGTAGTCTATTCTGTTATTTTGGTGGGGGACAGTCCAACACTCGTGGCCTGATGATTGTGTCTAGTATGAAACAGCCTGTCACCTCTGAGTGTTGACTTCAATGTTTTTTCATACACTATATATATATATATATATATATATATATATAACCAAATAAATATTAGTAATAACAATTAAATAGCTTCTTAAAAGATATTTGTTGTTCTAGTATCTCTTCCATTTTATTTATTTATTTTTTTAAAAATAAATCTTCCTTTTGAAAATCACCATCAGCTGTTTCATCACATTCTTCTGTGTTTTTCTTTCTAACCAGAAATTCCAGAGATCCTAATTGGATTTCAGAGGTGCCGACTTATTTGGGTGGTGGGATATTTGCCAAAATTCCCTGCCTGAAATGTTTACTCTGTCCCTCAGTACAAAAGCGCATTCACTGGCATCTCACAGCTGTGTGAGTAACCTTAGGAAAGAGTGTCTGTTTATGCAGGTGCAGTAAGGTTCCAAACTTAAATCAAGATCAATGCAACTCGTTCATGACTTGTCAAATTCTGAACAGATCTTAGAATGAAGGTTTAGTTGGAAATGCAAGCTCATTAAGACTATTGCCATGATAAGTGTTGCTTGCTATAAAATAAATTGAAAGCAAACACTTTTATACAAGCATTAACACTTATTCCTTTTTCAATTTTCAGAGCCTGATTTTATTGAACACACAAGTCTTCTCTGGAAGATGCTTTACATGACAGTTGCAGTCGCATTTGTGCGTGAAAAATATTATTTTGCCTGGGTCCTCAGTGAGTATCTATTTTATAAACTGGTTAACTATTTTGTTCTTTGATAAAAGATTTTCTTTTCAGTATCTTCAAATTTGTTTACTTAATTCTCAGATTTAATGAAAGTAACAAATATTTTGATTTGTTATATTCCTTATTTTTGTGTTTTAATGAAAATGTTTTTTTGTTGATCAATTACAGAAAACTGGAATGATTTATCAACATATCCAATGTCATATAAGACCCTCACTTTTTCTTTCTTTCTTTTTTTTTTTTTTTTCCTTCCAAATAGATTCCAGTTCTGATATGTTAACTTGAGTTGTCTGCAGAAACTAAAGTTTACCCAAATGCCATAGGCTATTCAAATCTAATACTGTAACACTGTAACAATAACAACAAATATAAAAAGTTGGGGTTTAATATGCTGTCAAAATACAATCATCTCTCATGAAATTTGAATTTGTATTGCGAATTCATCTGTCAAGTAATATCTTCAATTCTGATGAAAGCTTTTATGAATTGACAGGTTTTTATCTGTAGTTTTTTGTTACTATTCTTTTGAATTTTATTCTATGCTGTATTGTTCATTGTCTAGTTATTATCACGCTCTCAAATTGTTGCTTTATATCTTTTTTTTTTTTTTTTTTTTTATTGGCCTATATTTTTTGTTAAGAACAGATTTTTCTAAAATGTTGCTAAACAAAACCACAAAAAATAAAATAAAATTGCTGGATGAAATATATATTTAATCCATAAATTTTATTTATTTAACATTTTTTTTTTTTTTATGAAGCTGAATATCAGGTTTCAATCTCAGATAAAATTGCTGTGCCAAATTTAATCATATTTTTGTTTTTGTTTATTCAATCAAAAAAAAAAATTTCTTTTTAATGTTTTTTTTTTTTTCTAAATTTCTCTGTTTTAAATTAATCAGATGGGCTGGTAGCTTTCAATACATGTGCAGGAATAAATTATTTATACTCCTTTGTACCATGTTTTTGTTTTTATCACAATGTTTTGGCCATTGTAGCCTCCATCCTTCATCAGGTAACCTTCAAAGAACTTTGAACTGAAGCATTTATTTATTAATTTTTGGGGGTTAGATTTTTCTTGTTCATTTCTTGTCTTTATTTCTGTTTCTAGCTGAAGCTGTGAATAATTCTGCTGGACTTGGATTTAATGGCTTTGATGAAAAAGGAAATGCCAAATGGGACCTGTTAGAAAATGTGAACATTGCTGGTGTCGAGGTAAAGACTTTGCTTCTCGGGCACATTGTAACATGGCGCACAATTTTAGTTTGTCACTTTCTCTCCAAATGACAACAACTTTGAAATAATAATTTCAAAAAAAATAAAAATAGTTAGGGAGACATAAGATGTTAGGAATAGAATGGTATAATCTGGCAAAATGTCTTCTCCAGAAGTAAGGGTTAATGTGTTCTGGTTCAGTTTTCACTAGATATCTTTGTACTGTAGCTCTGTACCAGATTAAGCTACTAAGTTAACTTGATTGCATCAAATCACAAATAAAATATATATATATATATATATATTATAATAATATTACAGTGTAACCCGGATATAAGAGACCTGGATATAAGAGAGATTTTCTCTGGTCCCAAATTAGAGCCTGTGTTAATGTATATAAAATAGACCAAACCTATATATAAGAGACTTCTTCTCCGGTCCCGACAACTCTCTTATATTCGGGTTACACTGTACATATATATATTATAATTATCAAGCAAAATTTTTGATTCCAAAATTTTGCTTGAGTATGAAACGGAGCTTGATACTTTAATTCAATTTAATTTTCATAATTATATTGAAGTTTTTGGCTCCTGTTTTTGAAACCTGAGAATTCTTATGTAGTGAAGGAATCAGATTTTTAAAAATAATTGTAATTTAGGCTCTACTATTGTATTGCACACTTTTTAAAAATAAAAACAAAAATGCTAAAGAACTTTCGATTATTTACCTAACGTACGTGTTCTTTCCTATTTTTCTATATATTTCCACACACACAAAATATATATATATATATATATGGGTAGACTATTTAATTCATCCATTCTTTTTCAAGCATTAAATCATCTTCTGCAAACCTGTTTTACAATCTATGCTGACTGTACTTCTCCAATAATCATTACAAATCCTGCAACAGATATGCACAATAAACAAAAAACTTTTTGTTTTTAAGTCCCACTTCAGTTTGTCTTTTGAGAAAGCATACAGACCTATCAGAAAATTTTGATTTTTATGGAGTTTTCTCATTTTGCTTCTATTTTTTTTTCTTTAACTGGGCTAATAATATATCATAAATAATAATAATACTGTTGTTTTTGTTTTTTTTTTGTTTTTTTTTCTTTGGGGTTTTTTCATCCTATTTATATTCTGTAAGATTTATATGTAGACTCTCTCACCTTATATATTGAATATAAAACTTGGAATGTTTTTAAAAATGTTTTTTTCTTCTTTCAGCAAGCAACCAGTCAAAAAGAAATTATTGACAATTGGAATAAGACAACAACTTACTGGCTTCGTCATGTGATATATGACAGAGTGAAACGAATGCGAACATTGTCTGTATTTGCTATCAGTGCCTTCTGGCATGGTTTTTATCCTGGTTACTATGTAACTTTTGCAACAGGCGCTTTGTACACAATTACAGCAAGACTGGTATGGATTAGGAGTTTTTCAATTTTTATTTTCTTTTAACTTTATTTTCTTTAACTTTATTTTCTTTTTTTTTCTTTTTTTTTTTTTTTTTTCCAACATTTTAAAAATTAAAATGTTTTTTTCAATTTAATCTTTTTATTTTGAAAAACACTAGTTATTTATATCACAATATTTATAAAAGAAATATTTCAAAATTTTCCATGATTAGACAAAACAATATAAGAAGAAAGTATATAACAGGAATTCCTTTGAAATCATTTTACTGAAGAAATGTCTATAAAATTAATATTTAAATTTTCTTATCCATTTGTGTCTGATGTGTTATGGCGAGATTATTTGTTTTTAATGAAGCAAATCATTTAACGACTTTCCAGCTTGTTAGCCACAAAGTGTAAATACTCATGTCTAACATAAATCACACGAATTGATGTATATTGGTATCAGTGTAGCCGATCAGGGTTCAATTCTTGGTTTTTCAGTTGTTTTTTTCCTAGACGGTTCTCAGCCAAATATAATTCAGTTAGCCCTGATATTTTGTATTTTACACCTATAGCAGTCTCTCCCCTCTTCTTGAATATAGCAGAATCATACCTCTCCACCTCCACATGGAACAGTCACTTTATTGCTTTTCAAGTAAATTTGAATCCAATGCATTTGTCGGTAAATATATTATTGCTTACATTTTTTTTTGTCGTCTTTCTTTCAGGTAAGGCGAAATATTCGACCAATCTTTCTGAAGGCTAATCTCCATTTTCTTTATGATATCATCACCACAATTGTCACCAGAGTTACCAATTCCTACGGAGCACTGCCATTTGTCTATTTGGAATTTATGCCAGGAATTAAAGCTTATTTGTAAGTTTTTTTTTTTTTTTTTTTTTTTTTCCTTCTCCTCAGTTGTTCACTGATTTTAACCTTTTGACTTCCCAGCTAGGATTAAGCAAGAAATAAAATGTTTGTTTGATAGCTGTTAAAATCTGTTTGTTTCTAGCTAATGAAAACGTATCTTTGTATTTAGCATTTGTCATCAAAATGCTTCTGGACATTTTTACTGTATCTGATTCTGTTTAAGCAAAGATGGCTGCAATAATGCATTGTCATAATTTTGCTTTTGCCCATAATTTTCAAATCTTGAAAGCAATCTACATTTGTCTTCATTTTCACTAGTTTCTGACTTGACCATGACAAATACTAATGAGTAACATTGGAATTAGTCATATCTATTCAGAACACATTTGGTAATCAGTGACCAAACAGCGTTGTTGGTTTGAAATTCCTAAAATCTTTTTCTTAAAAGTTTTTCAGGAAATTAGATTTCTTTAGTCTGTTAACTGTTAAAACTCTTTCTAATATTGATGAGTTCCCATTTAAGTTTTTGTCATGTGAATTATTTTATTAGTTTCGCCTCTAGTTATGTGTAACCCATTTTTGTTGTTGCTGCCGTTGGAAATGTTCATGTCATGTGGTTCTTGTTATTTGGATTCAACAGTAAAATGAGACCTAGCTGCCAATCTAGCACTGCACTTAAAATTGTGAAGTTGAGGTACCAAAGAGGAAAGCTCATCAGAACAATTATCATGAAAATATTTATGGGAAAGGCATGGGGAATCTACTTTACAGTGTTGGGAAAGTGACTGAAGCTGAGATGCCAGGTCAGGACTGATAATATTGCAGATTCTTCTTTGGATTCTGTCGAGAATCTTTAGATACATAGCAGAAGCACTATATTACATGTGGCAGCAATATTCAATGGGCAGATAAATGGTAGACTTATAAAGTTTCAAGGTAGATTCTGTCAAGAAAAATTGCCTAGCACAACACTGTGACACCATTTAGCTATGGTAATTGGCTAACTAATTAACCATAGAAATTAAAAACGGGAAGTACTTAAGGCGAGAAAGAGTTATATCAAAAGATAGACTGAGCGACATTAAAATGAAGAATTTATTTTATTTACAAAAGAAATATACTTTTTCGCAAAAGACAGGAAATCCGTAAGAAAAAGTGAGACTGTGATTCTGTCAAATTAATTAATGTCATGATAAGGGAGTGACATGCCAAACGAAACAGAATTATGAAAGAAAAACAAAGCCGGTCGACGCATGCGACCATAAAAAAATTTCAGCTTGAGACCACCACAGAGAATAGATATTAATTATCTTTCAGAGATATCATTTAACTTTAATTACTGGTTCCAGTGAAGAAAGCCATCTGGTATAGCACGAATCTTGGCATGAGAAGGAAAATCGAAAAGGGAATAATTATTATTGCTTATTCAAACTGTTGATGTCAGACATAGCGTCTCAAAAATGAGCATATGGTGATAAGAGAATTTTAAGGCATGAGAAAAATAAAGAATTTAATTATCAGGTAAACATGACCACCTAGTTAAAAGTTGACTAGCGGAGAAGCCAAGTGTCGGGTTTTAACAATGATTACAAGTCGATAGAGGTCCGGGCTAAGTGGATTTAGGTGGCCCAGGAAAAGAAGATATGATAAATTTAATTGGCGATCTGGGATTTGTAAATGTTTTGGCGTAAGGAAAAAGAAAAAAAAGATTTTGTAAACACAATTCTGGAATAATTCTAAGCGGGCCAGTCTAGCCACACCCACACTGCTGAGAGATCATTGGCCAAGTGGTAGCATGGGGGATAGGTGGAGGTGAATGTATTGTTAACACCAACTGAGGGGATTGGTATGAGATACCAATGTGAGAGAGGAAGAGTCTAGGAGGATAACTCTCCTCCGACCTTCCCTCACGGACGAGGGAGGAACCTCCAATGTGGAAAGTGATTAATCTTCCAAAAATGGGAAGTAATTAATTTTCCTGGCCTAAGAACAAAGAATTCTTGTTGGGAATTGAGAATTATCAAGGAACCCAAACCACGTTGGGCCCCCACACTGGGTTTTGGTTGGTGTCCATATAAATGAACGTCTTGAGGCGGCTGGTCAGTTCAAGATTTACAGTCAGTTCCAGACAGTTCGAGTTTGGAGTTAGTTGGAGAGTGTTGCCTCGCAGAAGCTGACCGAAAGATTTCCATGTCCTCTTGACTTAGTCTTCCTACCAAAAGCAAGTTTTTATTGACGAATGACTTAAGATACCATAACTTGCTTAAGAAACACAAAAAGTGTCACGAATCCATAGAAACGGGCTGGGAGAGAGAAACACTCTTGTATTCAACAGATGGATAAAGATAATTTGTTATTTCTCAACATATTTGAACCTCTTGAGTTTATTTTATTATTTTTTTTTACTTGTGCGGTATCACCATTACCCTGGATTCAGCTTGCACTACAGCCCGACGCCTGATTGATTTCGTCTACCTGAGATCAAAATCACAATGTGGGTAGTTTAGACTTGAGATCTAAGAAGTTACTTCATTGACCAAGCGTTGGAGGTGAGCTGAGAACGACGAAGCTGGTATTGAACCGGAAACAACCAGATCGACCGGGACACAGGCTGGTGGCAGTGACAAGTAGTCAACCCAAAAATACTGGTGGAAGAAACCTTGCAGCTTCGTGCCGCAACTGGGAGTTGACCACGGGCCGACAGCAGTGTCATATATTGACGTTGTGGCCAGTGGACGTCATATATTGGCGCTGGACTGCAACTGTGACCACCGGTGGGTGTCACAACACAATGAACCACCTTTTGAAAAGGAGACCTAACAAATGATTCAATATAATTATTCTACTTCACGTCAGTGAAAACTTTAGATCAAGAAGGTACATTGAATTTCTCTCCCGGGGTTAAGCATGAGCCATGCTGAAGGAAGGTAGAAACGGTTCTCTCTCTCAGATGCTTCATTTTGGAGGCATTTTTTTGGCCCCAGTTAACAGATTGAAGGTCTTTTTCAAGATCGGCTGCTAATTTGACTTTATCAAACCCTGTCCTTAAGACAGGAGTAAATAGTTGTCATCAGCATGGATAACAAATCGAGAACTGATAATGTTGATGAAAATTAGGATGAGAAGTAGATGCAAGAATAAAGCTTTGGCAAACATCCTCCTCTCCCATTAATATAAAATGATCTACGAAAGGTGGTCATTCAAGACAACTTTCATTTCACTATTTGATAGGAAACCTTAAATTAAATAAGACATTCAGCCCTAAAACAAAAACTCTTGATTTACTGATAAATTGTCCCAGCAACAGGGAAGAATTATTTAAAACGCTTTTCAAAATATCTGATAAGGCATAAAGTGGATTTGTGTCTATCTTGGAATGCACATGAACACACTTGAAGCTGGGACCTGAAATTGACCAATTCCCTCCCCCATGTTTATTTATTTATTTTTTTTTTTTTTGTAACCTGAAAATTATTTTAAAATGTTTATACTTTTGAAAATGATGCTACCACTAAACTATAATGTTGGTTCCAGTTTGCTTGTACCAATTATTATGAGGCTGAGTTAGTCTTTCAATTTGGAGGCATAAAAATAGTCTAATTATTTTTCTTTGTCTTTTTTTCACAGATCTGTCTATTGCTGGGTACATGTGTGTTGCTTGATAGTCATTCTTCGATATTCTCTGTTTGCTGCACCCCGAAAGATTGAAAAGGATGAAACTACCGAGAAGACAAATCCAGGAACTCCTCTAAAAGAAAAAGAGCATTGATACCGAATTCTTGTTAGGTTCTGTTGTTCCAAGGTTTTGCTAGTGGATGTATCCATGCTGAACCTTCCAAAGGACAACTTCCTCAGGTTGAAAAAAAAAAAAACTAACAAAATATTTTGGAAATTTTTTTATTTATTCATTTTATTTCATTATTTTAAATTTTTTTTTTTTTTTTTTTTTTTTTTTTTTTTTTTTTTAAGGGTTTGGGGTGGGAGTCAGTAAATTGGGGTTATTTTAAAAGGATAGGGATATGTAACCCGTCTTGGTTGACAGGGAAAAAAAAAAAATTGATGAGTGTTCAGATTTATTCCAATGGCAGTTAAGCCTGCCTCTAAAAATATTTACAAGAAGCACAAATATATATATATATATATATATATATATATATATATATATATGCCTAAAAATTGTTGAAGTTTTAAATTATGAAAAAAGAAACTTATTAGCAAAAGCATGCAAATCTATTAAAATGAAATTTTGGGACTATTTTGTGGGGTCTGGATAAAAAAAAAACATTCAGATGATTTAAATACAAAAAGAGGGGAGAAATATCATCCTTTTCTCACTTCATTGAATTCATATGAAAACACACACAAGCGCATATATATATATATATATATATATATATATATATATATATATATATATATGTACACACACACACACACACACACTGTTTTGTTAAATTTTTCTTCATTTAATTCAAGTGTTTCCTTTAAAATTGGAAAACTTTGAACTATTTCTTTAATTTTTGAAAATTATTTTAATTTCTTTTATTAGAAAACTGTTTTGTTTATAAATTCCTTTTATTGATTTAAATTTTTCAATTTCATTTGTTAAAAATTATTTTATTTGAAAAAATTAAAAAAAAAAATTGAATGAATTCTTTTTTTATGATTTATTTATTTTGCAATTATTTTTAAAAGGATAATTTCATTTTTATTAAAAAAAAAAATGCAGTTATTATCTGAATATGGTTTATGGCAAATATTGTTTTCCATTTGATCAAGAACATTTTGTATCCCTGCCCACATTACATTGTCTTCTCTCTTTTTGTAAAAAAAAAAAAAACAAAAACAAAAAAGATCAAAAACATTTTTTTCAAATTGATGTAAAATTGAAACTTTTTTTAATTAAATTTGATTGAATATGCAAACCATTTTTATTAAAAAGAAAAAAAAAATTTTTGTAGAAATTTTGAAAACCAAAATAAAATATGAACTCTTTAAAAAACAAGTTACATAGCTTATAATGTTATTAATTTTTTTTTTTTAAAAAAGGAAAGAAAGATGAAATATTTATTGCACAGTATTGATTGATCTCAGATGAAAAAAAAAAAAAAAAAAAAATGGAGAGATGAGTCATTTTCCTTACAAGTTATTTCTTTTCTCTTTTTTGTTCCCCCCCCTCAGGTGTGATTGAGTTTTAAAAGAAATGATTAAAAAGACTTTAATTTCCAGGTCAGTCAATATTACACTAAATTTTATTTGAGGTGTTCAAATTATAAAATGGAGTATTTCAGTTTATGCATACAGAAAAAAAATATTGATGCTGCAAAAGTGAATTTGCAGTTTCAATCTGGATTATCCTACTTCTTTCCCTGGCAAAACTAAGCAACAGTCTTCTCTATTTATTTCTTACCTTCTCTCCTCGCTCTTGCCGAACTTCGAAACACTGTCCTCTTGGTAACTCAGATCACTATCATTGATATTTCGTTTCGATCATCTATTAAACCTGAACCCCTTATTCATAAAACCTCTTTCCATTACCAGCATTGCTGATTGGGACTCACTCTGTGATTTTCTTCATGACACCCCTTGGACTGACATCTTTAACCTTCCAAATTTAGAATTGCACCACTTAGGTTTCTTTCATGGGTCAAAGCTGGCATGGATGCATTCATTCATTCTTGGAAATACCAGGTGAAACCTTAATCCTCTCCATGTTTGATAGCCTACATGAACCACTATTTTTGGGTAGACCAGTGTTGACAGTTCCAGTCACAACAGACACCTTATTTGTTGCTGCTTATAATAAATGTAAATGAGTCCTCAAAGGAGTTAAGTCCCTGTTTGCGAAGACAATGAGGCACCACATTGATTATTGGCATTTCTGTAATAGTGTATTAAATAAGTGTAAGGTGTCTATCCCTGCCTTCTCTTCAATCAATTTTTTAACATCCTCTGCTGATAAAACTGAATGCTTCTCCCATAAAATTCTTAAACACTGCTCTTGACTGATCGGGAGTATGCCAGCCTAACTCCCCACTTAGAACTGAGACTCTGTTGAGTGCTATGCATATAACCGCTTCTATGGTTTCTGCTATCATTTCTAACCTAGATCCCCCCCCCACAAAACATGTGGACCTGATGGTATCACTGTAATAATCATTAAAAATTCTGCTCTCTAAACTGTATAATAAATGCCTCCTGCTTGATGGAAGTCATCATCTGTTGTTCTAGTTTTTAAAAACAGATGAACCAGCCGACCCTTTCAACTACTGGCTTATTAGCCTCCTACCTGTTTTTGGCAAACTTTTTTTGGATATTTTTAATCTAATGTAATAAAAATGTTACTTTTAAAAAGGAAGTTAGAAAGCATTCAAATTAAAGATAGCTTTAAAATGGGTATTTTCAGAAAAGACTAAATGAATTTATCAGTAATATTTACCGACTTCTCCACAAGGTAAGTGTTGTGGGTTCCGAGACGAAATCCGGTACCAATAAATAACAAACACCAGTAATGAATATATGAAAATAATGTATTAACGTAATAATACAAACTGGTAAAGGAGGTTAGTAGTTCCAGGAATACAGGTTAGTAGCAAAATATCTATACAGTCTTTGGTATTGAAGTATCGCTGTATAACTGAGTTTACGTGCTCGCTCACTGTGACTCCTACAATGCTGTTACCTCACCCTCACTCTTCCGGTTACCTACAACCTTTTACTCTGTCACTCTGGACTCGACTCTTCGGTCTTGTTCTCTCGGGTCTTCACGTAGCCATAGTATATGTGAGGTGGACCCCCTCAACAGTAAGATGTGGCACAAGGCCAAATTTAATGTGGGGCAATCCGAACCTTGTAGACCCCGCATAAATGGCGTCAGGTTTGTCTACCTCCCTGGACGAGACTCTGCCCTTTCGCATAGCCTCGTCCGGGTTCCTCTCTACCCAAAAGTAGAGTTTGGCAACAGCTAAGAGCTGAGCATGTAGCCAGCGCCAACTGCCTGATCATCAGGTAACAATTTATCAGTGAAATTTCTTAGTAAATCAACCATGAATAATGATAAAGTTCACTTGTTATCGTCTTGAGTTGATGTAGCAATGTTGCATGCACGTGAGTCATATGTATTCTGTCAAAGAAAACGGAGTGGTGTTTCCAGCTCTTTAACATAAAAATTGGCAGTATATATATATATATATATATATATATATATATTAATTAATTTTGATCTGGGCATCTCTGGTGCCAATATAAGTAAATATCTGACTCCCTACTGGGCCTGTACTCCATCTTTACAAAAGCCAGATCAAAACAAAAATAGGATATTGCCCTTGTTGACCCTTCTTTGTTGCATCCTCATTCCCTTCATATTCCATTGATAAGTTCCACTTGGACTGCTGCTTTGTGGATAGACCCCCCCACCAGGACGTTTTCCTGATTGCTACAATCTTGACATCTTCAAGTCTAGAGTTAATGGTATCTTTCTTAACATGACTTAATGAACTGTACTTCTTGCCTTTTTGTTATGTTCATAAAACACTACACAGTAACCTTCTACCTTGAGTGGCTTTTGGGCCTTTTATTGGATAACCATTAGAAAAAGAAAATGCTACATTTCAGTACCAAGGATCTACTTTGGCCACTCATGTATGTTGCCCTTCCAGCTGACCGTATTGTCAACTGTTGGTGTGTTTGCAATGTGCATAAACCTTTCAACTTACAGATACTTGTTTAAACAAAAGAAAAAGTGCTATTTATGTATGGGGAAGAATTTCTTCCACAAAATGTAGATATAATAAGTAAAGGTTTTAAAATAAAAACAGGGAATAGGATTGTGGGACAATGGAGAATTTAAATTCTGAAGTCAGCTAATAATTTTGCTATTCAAATTTTGATTTTATATGTAACGGAAAAGTGATTTCTTGTTCCCCTTGAGTTTATCTACATATGACAATATTCAGCATGTTGACTGTAACTAGAAAATCCAGGCTGAAAATACTTGACTGAGACATTTTCTGATTGAGGTAAAAGTTGTTAATCTGATCAACCTGCCATGAACCCCATTTGGGGATCTTTTAAAATTAAACTCATTACATATTATTCCTTGTATTTACATTGAATTGTTTGCATACATTGCATTTGCAGAGGTATATTTTACAACACTTAGCCTTTAAAGTTTTTATTATTAGCCGTAAGAAGACGCTTTCTGTCGTAATTTTACATTTCATGAGTAGAAAAATGACTATTTTGAAAAGTATTTTTTTATTATTCCTAATCAATATTATTTTTTGATGTTTTATACACATATATATTTGATGTTCTAGTTTCTATAAAAATGACAATGGTAACTACTGAAATTATACATAAGGAATAAATAAACTCCTAAGACACCTGTCTGGGCCAAAAATGCGCATTAAAAAATTTGGCAGTTAATGGTTGAAGCCTGAAACAATGAGCATAATCAATTGATATTTCATTGGATATCAAAAATTGATGATTACATCAAAGTGCCTGAAAAGACAATATTAAGTTTGTATGCAGAATTCTCAAAAAGAATAATTAGCAAAAAATGGTGACAACATAGTGCAAATAAAGCATGACTCCATTGTGCATTGAATGCTTCAAGGAGTATGATACAGTTAAAAATATTCAATTTAGGAAGCTAACATTTGTTTTATTTCCTTGTTTTTTCTGTTTTTTTTTTATTCTTATAATCTTAAAGAATTAGATGAAAACTTATTTTTATAGCTTTTGTATATAGTTAAATGCAAAGAC